CCCCTGTGCCATCCCACAGGCACAGAGCTGAATCCCCTGTTCCATCTCCTGCGGGCACAGAGCTGAATCCCCTGTTCCATCTCCTGCAGGCACACACTGAACTGAGCCCCTGTGCCATCTCCTGCGGGCACAGAGAGCTGATCCCCTGTGCCATCTCCTGCAGGCACACAGAGCTGAGCCCCTGTGCCCTGTCCTGCTGCCCTCCTGCAGGCACACACAGAGTTGATCCCCTGTGCCATCTCCTGCGGGCACAGAGCTGAGCCCCTGCCGTGCCAGGGAAGCCTCGGTACCTCCGTTGGTGTCGCGGAACTCCCGGATCCCATCCACATCTTCCAGGGGCCAGTAGTGGGAGGCCGATGCCAGCACTTTGAACCCTTCCAAGAAACACAGGTCAGGAGATTATTAAATTAAAAGAGCAGCGAGGTGCGTAACAAGTCTCCACAGAAAATAACCGTAAAAGAGGTCGGAAGGTTAAGTAAACCAAAATATTTTATGTAAATCAAGCGTGGCGCACAAGCGAGGCCATAAATCAAAGCAGCAGAGTAGATTAAAGCCTTATCACTGATTAACCACGGCAGAAAACCTGCTTCTAAATCCCAGCTGATTCTCCTCCTAATTGCACCTAAAAGGTGTCACAGTCTCTGACTGAAGCCCTGCTGGTGAATGTGGCAGCATCACTGAAGCTGAGGAGTCACTCCAGAGTAATTCCAGATTTTCCTGAGCTTTGGAGCAGTGGGGACAGCCCGGAGCCCTGGGAGCTGCGTCCTTGGCCTCTGCGGTTCATCCCACACCTCTCTTCACCTTGCAGACCAAACCCTTTGGCCTGTTTGATGCGTGCTCTGTCCTTGTCCTGTCCTGGATACACCAGAGTTTGGTATAATGGATATTGAAATTTCAATAAACTGCCTGATGCCCCCCGGAGAGTACTTTGATGGCCTCCATCCTCATGGCGCAGTTTCTGATGTGTGACAAATCCTAAGATTTATTTTTTTATTTTGAGTGCAAAGTTGATAAAATTGCTAAACTTCTCAAGAAACAATTGCAGGTCTGAGCAAACAGAACTCCGAGTTCTGCATCTTGTGAGGGTACAAGGACTGCTCAGACTCGCTTCCAAAGTCAGCCACACCAGAGATATCTAACAAATGATTCATAACTGAATTCATTAATCCAGGCTCTATTCTTAGCCCACCTAACTCAGTGTTTGCTGTTGCCATAGAGGCTTTCCCTCCGGAGGGGAGCAGAGCACAGACAAGATGGGGATGTCCCATGGGATGGAAATGGGAGGGAAATGGGGTTCTGTGGTTCTCCATCCCCTCTGGTGGCCTGGAGGGCAGAGAAGGGCACAGCTGGCACTGAGAGGAGAGGGCACTGCAGCCTTGGAGCACTCACAGCAAGAACACACAACAAAATTGAAAATTCCAGACAGCCCCAACTCAGCTGAGGCCTCTGGATAAGCACCTGTTTGACCCGAATGTAAAATCCTTTCAGAGGCAGTGACACCGATCAGGAGAGACCCCAGGGATGTTCCAAACCAGCAGCATCCCTGCAGCAAAGCCTGCACCCATTCCTGCAGCAAACCCTGCACCCATCCCTGCACCCCAAACCCAGCCCGTGGCGCTCCCCGCTCGGGGCAGCAGCGTTTCCCCTTTGTTCCACCAGCCAGAGGCCACAGACACTCGTTTTTAGGAAATGGGACTCTCTTTTTTCGGTGGAGCAGAAGCCATTAATTACTCCTCCAACAGACGTGGCCTCTCCCCATCGCTCTGCCTTTCACTCGAGAGTAATTACATGTGGTTACGGCTGGAAAAGGCAACCCAGGGGCTGGCAAAGCAGTAAAGCTGTACTTGCACACCACCATGAGGCTTGAGGTTAAACTATTTATATAAACAGAGGAATTCTGCAGTTGCACACACAAACCCTTCCGAGCTTTCAGGGAGTTTTTCACATTGGAAACAGATGAGAAATCCTTAATCTGCTCTGTGACTGATTTAAACCCAAGTGTGAGGCTGGGAGGAGGGGACAGGAGCTGAAGCTGTGCCAGGGAACAGCAAAGTGAACAAACTGGCACAGCAAACTGTTCACTGCTGAACCAAAAATGCTGAACATGGGGGGGAAAGGGAAATATTCTGTGCAGAGATTTGACTCGGAAACTCACACTCAAGGAAAGTGAGGATAGGATTTCCCACGTATCAAATACAAGGCATTTTTCTCCAAATGTGTTTGTGTCCAGAATATTCCGTGGGTGGGGTGCTGAATTCAAAACGCCTGGGACAGCCTAGCACTTTGGATATCACACATTTAATACAGGCTGGCATTCAAACAAGGGCTCAGCTTCTTTGGGGTACTAAGGGAATAAAAAAACCCCACAAACTGCAAAAAAAAAGCCAATAAATACTCAAGCACATTGCCAGAAAATGGAAGCAGAGCGTTCCTTACCTGGGTGTTTGGGGAGCTGGGAATGGTTCCCGTACACCTGCACAGAAAACAGCACACAGTGAGACACGGGCAGGCAGAACCCGCCACGAGGAGTCCAAGCGCCCCTCAGCACTGAGGGGATCCAGAGCATTACCTGGTACTTCTGCTGAAATAAAATCAGCAAGGAATAATGGCAGCAGAGCAGCGATAACAAACTCTCCATGGTCTACGTAAGGCTAAAAGTACAGCTGAACTCAAACTCCTGTAAGGTTCCAATCATAAGTTTTCCTTTGCCACTTTTGGTATCAAAAAGGACATTTTCCATGCAGGTTCAAAAGGTCCATCCCTTCAGCGCTGGCAAAATATCCTCGCAGACCCTCCGAGCGCTGTTCTCTTGCTTCACCCCTCGGTATCTTCATTTAACTCCGAATAAACTCCCGCGACCGGAGGAAAACTCACAGAAACGCGCGGCAAGCGCCGGAGTTGTGCTGTCCCGTGGCAAGGAGCCCAACGCTTCTATTGCAGCGTGTGCCAAAGAGAAAAGGTCTGGGTTGAACTTTCTGTCCGCGGGCTGCGCTCCAGCTCCGCTCGCTCCGAGCGAGAGAGACCCCGGGGAAACTCCCTGTCCGCCCCCAGGCGGGTCAAAATGGGCTGAAATGAGCCGGAATGGTCCAAAACGAGCCGAAAAGATCGGGTTTGCAACTTTCTGTCCGTGGTCTGTACTCCCGTGCAGCTCCGCTCGCTCCGAGGCGCTGCAGGGACAGGCGCTCCCTGTGACTCCGGGGAAAAACTTCTTGATGGCTCCCAGGTGGGCTCAAACGGGCTGAAACGGACCGAAATGGGCCGAAACGAGCCGAAAAGATCTTATCTGCAACTTTCTGTCCGCGGTCTGCGCTCCCCTCCAGCTCCGCTCGCTCCGAGGCGCTGCAGGGACAGGCGCTCCCTGTGACCCCGGGGAAAAACTCCTTGATGGCTCCCAGGTGGGCTCAAATGGTCCGAAATGGGCTCAAATTAGCCGAAAAGAGCCGAAAAGATCTCGTTTGTAACTTTCTGTCGGCGCTCTCTGCTCCCCGCCGCTCCGCTCGCTCTGGAGCTCGGGAGGCGCTGCCTGTGACCCCGGGGAAAATCCCTGCTGGCGCCAGGTGGGCTCAAACGGGCTGAAATGGGCTGAAATTATCCGAAACGAGCCGAAAGGAGCGGCGCAGTCCCGCCCGTCCCGCTCACGCCGCTCCCCCAGCCCGCGGTGATGTCAGCGCTGCCCTCCGGCCCCGTCCCACCCTGCTCCTTCCCACTCCTGCCCGTTTCTATCCATTTCTATTCATTTCTGTCCATTTCTCTCCATTCCTGGCCCTGTCCCGCCGCTGGGAGCGGCCCCAGCCCCGGCACGGGGGGAGGGAGCTCCCCAAAATCCGCACCTGGGAGCGATCGCGGCCACACCCAGCACCTGCACCTGCAACACCCCCGAAAACCGACACCTGCTTATTAAAAACAACACCTGACACCTGACACCTGTTTATTAAAAACACCTGACACCTGTTTATTAAAAACACCTGTTTATTAAAAACAATAAACTCATGTTGTTCTCTGTCCGAAGAAAGCTTTAAAAGCACTGATTGGAATCGCATGGCGCACCCAGGGATTGGTTTTACGTTTTCTGTACCAAGCAGGGGAAACTGAGGCCTTCCTCATCTCACCGGTTTCCTCACAAAATTAGGAAAAATTTTCTGCAGTTGCTACTTTGCTTCGTGTTTTAATAAAAATAATTACATGTAAGTATTTTATAAGAGTCTGCCAATTACACTCCATGTCACAAATATTAACCAGCATTTTACATGTAAAGGAAAAATAACAGCTAGAACTAGCTGATATTCTTAATTTTATCTGCTCTTCTGTGATAAAGCCTTGTTTTCAGTTCTCTCAAAGTTCTTTATTTTCAGCCAAATTAACTGAAAAACTAATATTTTGAACAAAATTTGATAAGCTTTCCATCCCTGTTAACTCCTTCCCTGCATTTCCCTATCAACACTCTGTACCTGTAGCTGTTCTGTACCTGCACCTGTTCTATTCTCCTGTATGGAGATACTCCGTACCTGTTCTATTCTCCTGTATGGAGCTGTTCTCTACCTGCACCTGTTCTCCATCCACACCTTTTCTTCTCCCCTTCCTGGACATTCCCTAAGCCCCTCACACTGCATGGATGCTCCAAGGCTACCCAGGTTCAGTGCTGCAAAATTTCAGTGTTGAAATAAAATGTGAGTTCTGTGTGCAATCCTGATTTAGGGCCCATAAAAGAGTAATTTTGAAAATTCTGAATTTTTGAATTTCAGTTCCTACAAAAATGAGAGTATTTGCCTATTTCCCTCCAGCTTTTTGAGCCTTCCTCCCTCATAGTGTGAGCCAAATCTCCTGGATGTCCTGCAGGAAGAGGAGGAATTCTGTGCAAACCCTATGGTGACAATTAGAGCCATTCTTAGAAATAACAGAGATCTGCAGCTAAAAATCCCGAGAAAAAGCTAAAATGTAAAAAGAGAAAGGCAGGAATTTGAAATATTTGCCAAGAGGGGCCTGTCAGGGGACGGGATACGCTTACCAAAACAACTGTGAGGATCCAAGCAAACAAGCTCCCTGCCAGGAATTTCTGCAGAAACAGCAAACTGCTGCAGACACTGGGGACTGTGCAGAAACAAACTCTGAATTTATCCCTGGGATGCTCTGAAACGCGAACTGGGAAAGCCACAGAGCGGCCAGGACAGACTGGGGCAGCGCTGCGGGGCAAACTGGAGTCACTGTTAACTGCGCCAATATGTTCTATTCGCAGTTTAGTTTAATACATTTAATAATTTGAGCGCAGGGCACCAGGGAGGCTCCGGGGAGCCCAGCAGGGAACAGAGCTGGTTTACGGTCCTGTGGGGCCCTGCAGGTCCCTGTGGGTTCCTGGAAGCCCTTTCAGGTCCTTGCAGGTTCCTGTGTGTTCCTGGAAGCCCTTTCGGGTCCTTGCAGGTCCCTGTGGGTCCCTGCAGGTTCCTGTGTGTTCCTGGAAGCCCTTTCGGGTCCCTGCAGGTTCCTGTGGGTTCCTGGAAGCCCTTTCGGGTCCCTGCAGGTCCCTGCAGGTCAGGCTGGAGCCAGGACCGGCCGGAGGCAGCAGAGGCTGCAGCTGGCACTGACCCCAGCCCAGGTGAGGAGTCTCTGGGGCGGTGCCACACCTGGTGCTGACACCTGAGCAAAGCACGGGGGCCATCGCTGAGAGGACCCCTGACCCTGCAGAACACAAACCCTTTGTGATTTCACTGCTCTCGCCCTGGAATCGCCCATTTATTCACCCTGCGAGAGCACGACTGGGACTGACCCGCTCCGGCCAACACCTCGGGAAGGAGCGGTTTAGGAATCGATAGATTCTGTAAAGCTCTCACATCACAGTCTCTGCTAACACGGATAAATACTGTGGGTTACAACGGCTCTGGCCAGGCTGTCTGTCTGTCTGTCGGTACCAGGCTCTGTCAGATTACAGCTGATAGATCAGCGCACATCCCCGCACATTTACTGCCACTTTTCCCGCTAATGCACACCCAGCCCAGCGCTCGTGGAAGGGATTTATTGAATTCACCCACACCAATCACCCGCAGCTGTGCAAACCCGTCCGTCTGTCCCTGGCTCCCGGAGCCGCTCAGGTGCGCGCAGGTGCCATTTGGGGGGATTTGCGTTAAAGAGCCATTTGCCAGCTGCGTCCCCTTCCCGGAGACCGAGGAATGTTCCCTTTGCTTTCCCTGGAGCGTCCCCATCAATCCCCGCTAATGGGTGACACTAATTGCGCTAATTGGCCAAACGCGGAGATTGGCTCGGGATGCGGCAGCTCGGGAGACCCCTGGCTCCGGAGAGCAGGAAAACCTCCCTCAAAGCCAGGGGATTTTTGGTTTAAAAAAGGTGGAAAAATCGATTATTTCAGATACTATCGCCTTATCAATCTGCACCGATGTAGGGGATGGGGTAGAAAAGGCTGAGTTGCGCTTTTCCTTAAGGTTTGCAGCACACGAGTTCTGTTTTCCTTCTAAACCTGCCAAGAGCCCTGAAAGTGCTGAAAAAACCCCTTAGGGGCAGCAGGAGCTGAGAGTTTACAGCTCTGCCCTGCACAACGCAGGTAAATACCCTCTAAATACCCAAAATACCTAAATACCCTCTGAATACCCAAAACACCAGCTAAATATCCTCTAAATATCCACAGCACCTTCCAAAACACCCTAATCACCCTCTAAATACCCAAAACACCTAAACACTCTGTGAATATCCACAGCACCCTCCAAAATATCTGCAATACCCTCTGAATACCCAAAACAGCTCCTAAATACCCTAAATACCCTCTGAATATCCTAAATATCCTCTGAATACCCACAGCACCTCCAAAACCCCCTAAACACCCTCCAAAATCCCCTAACAGAGGGTGGCCACGCACAGCTCCACTGCCCAGGACAGACCAAGTCATTAACGATGTTTTGATCAAGTCATTATCGATGTTTGGGTCAAACTGTAATTAACAATATTTCTGTCAAACCGTAATTACCAACCTGACCTTTTGGTGGAATTCCCCAGCCCGTCCCATGGGATCTCTGAGCCGACAGAGCTGGGAAGGACAAACGGAGCAGCTCAGATGGGGAAAAGGAAAACAAACACAAACCCTGCAGTTAACGCAGCAAGGCCAACGCGAGCAGGGAAAAATGTTTTTCTAATTAAGAATATGAGAAGTTGCTGGTGGATGCCAGAAAACAAAATAAAGCGTTTTGGCAATGCGATTTAGGCCTAATCAAATGAAAATGCTTTTGTTGTGCAACATATGTAATGTTAAACTGATTTTATGTTTATATATAGAGAGAGATATTCCTTAGGAAAACATTAAGACACTGATGATTCAAAGACCAATTTAGTAGTTATATAAAATCATACAATAAATTATACATTCAAAGTTTCCCTAAATGAGGTCCCAGCTCCTAACAGGGTTATTGGATTGGCCCTTTTATTGTCTATTTTCTGTTCATTGGACAGCCTTTGCATCTTGATAGTGCCTTGAATATCTGACTCCATGCGCTGAAGGAAACATCAGATTTTTGCTAAGCAGTCTAGGATTTTGTGCCAATCTCAAAGATTTAATTTAATCAAATCTTTGATTATCTGAGTCTTAATGCCAAGCTCACATAAAATTGGATAATTGTGTAAATACAATGTTTTACAAATCCTTTTTTTATGTGATTAAGCCAAATCCTTTTTGCCAGAAGCCTCTGTGTGTAACTGGGAACGTTGTGGGACCACTCAGGTACTCAGATCCTCCTAATTACACAAATAATGTTTATAATATTAGATGATAATGATGAATAATCCCTAAAGGGTGATAAATGCTGCCTGTAGGATTTGTGCCAGCTTTTCTCTGGCAGTGTCGCAGCTTGGCCTCCTCTCTTTGGGGCATTTGCAGCTCCCTGAGGTTCCAGAGCCTGCAGAGCTCAGCAGCAGAAGGCAGCACAGCCCTGGGATGGCTCCAAATGTTCTTTGTGTCCCTTCCCATGCGGAACCGGGGCTTTGCATGTGCAGAGCTGGACAAAGATCCAGCCCAGGTGTCTGATGGTGTCAGAGAAATTCGGGGAATCCAGCACTCACATGGTGTCCATCATCGTGGTAGATGCAATTCTCGAGGCAATAATCACTCTAGAGTGGTCCCGGGGCCTAATCCGGTGATTATGGGCCTGGAAACTTCTATTTTTACATTAAAAACCTTGATGTTTATCTCAACATAGTCCGGGAAGTACATGTATATGAATAAGGCACTGCTCCCAGCCAGGGTGGTCAAAAGACATCGTTTGGATTTTACAATATTGTACACATTAATAGCATGAGTTATGGCTACCATACACTACAAAGGCACAGAAACAATTCCAGAACAAGCCCCGTCCCTTCAGGTGCCCATCCTGGGCCAGCACCCACAGCAAAGCCAGCACAGATTCCCCTCCATGCCCACCCCTGAGCCCTGGGGCTCCTCTGGGTTTGATCCCACCTGCTCCAGAACCCCAATAATCACTCACATCTGCCCGTGGAACAGCCGCCCCAAAGATCCCAAAATCACAGGGCACACCCTGGAATCCTGGAACCGCCTAAGAACATCCTCCCAAAACAATAAATGCAAGAAAAGAAGAGAAAATCCCATTTGTATCTGCCATTGTTCTTCATGCACACTGCAGGAAAGTAAACTGG